TAAACGGCAAGTTTATCGGGGGAGTTTTAGAAGTAGCTTGGTCTTGACATTGTCGAATATGTTCAATTAGATAAGAGTAAAGAACTGTGAAAGTAACAGCAATGATATGTAGGTACTAAATGTAAAATCTCCTTGATCTCTATATCAAGAGGTTCGAATTGCCTAGGTAAAGCATCAGCTTTGGTATGTCAAGCGTAAGGAAAAAATGCAGTGATAAAATTGAATCTGAATTAAAACCGGGATCACCTGGCTTGTCTTGATGCCAAACATCTAGCCCCAGCAATGGAAGACAGATTTTTATGGTCTGTTATTATCAGATTACGGTATCCTCCAGCAAGTATTTCTTGAAAAGGAAATTACAAAGATGTAAAGGTGGATCATGAGCAGCTCTTTGGGATATCATTGCTCCAACCCCGGATTTATAGGTGTCTAGCTCTAATATGAAGAGTCTAGACTCTAGAGGAATATGGATGAACCAGGACTGGAGCAGAAGAGAAGACAGACTGTAGGGTATCAAAAGCCCTATTTGTATCTAGAAACCATTTGTGTGCATTGACACACTTTCTGGTCATACGCTTTTATGGTATAATGATTGTGGGGAAAAAAAAATTCTAAACCTTTGAAAGTAATTAACAAATACCAAGAAAGCGCTGGATGGGCTTCAAACCTTGCAGCAGGGACCATGATAGCTCTGTACAGCGGCGCAATTACCGCGGTCGCAGCTGCAACCGGGCCCGTCACTCCAGGGGGCCCAGCCGCCCTGTTGACCCCTGCGACTGAGGTGCCCACCGGCATTCTGAACTACCGCCGGGGCCATATTGATGGGGCAATGTACATCATGGGCTCTGGTCACGCTCTTAAAGTGCCACAGCGCTGACCGGGCCCCAGGAAGAACATTGCCAGTGAAGATGTCAGAGCTGGGAGGAAGCCATTACTCCCTCCCAGCTTACACAGAGCCACGTGGGAGGAGAGCGCCGGGAAGGAGAGGAGGGAGTCTCAGTGGGAGCTCTGACTCCCATCAGCCTAAGCCAGCCACTGGACCTCAGGAAGTCACTAAAAGAGGGTGACTAAAATTTTTAACAGTGTCTGTGTGTGTCAATGTCTGTGTCTATGTGTCAGTCTGTATGCCTGTATGTATGTGTTTGCATGTGTGTCTGTATGTGTGTATCTCTTTGTATGTGTATCTCTTTGTCTGATTGTGTGTCTGTCTGTGTATCTGTTTGTCTTCATGTGGGTCTGTATGTGTATCTGTTTGTATGGGTATCTGTTTGTATGTGTGTCAGTGTGTGCCCCTATGTAGCTGTATGTGTGTCACTGTTTATATCTGTATGCCTGTCATTCTGTGTATTTGAATGTTTGTCATTAGTGTGTCTATGTATCTGCATGCATGTCTTTATGTGTATCTGTCTTTATGTGTCTGTGTATCCGCATGTATGTCTGTGTGTGTATTGGTTTGTCTGTATGTATATTAAATACTATTATTGCACAGACCATAGGAAAGTTGCATGGGATGTCTTTACTTATGTCCTAAAAGACAGCTGTGGCATTAAACTCTCCAAAGGGCATTGCCGTGTTCTCATAGTGACCCCTCTGTGTGTTAAAAAAAATCTAAGGAGAATGTGGAAGCAACTTATCTGCTACTTCCTCCTGCAAATCATGGTACTTAGGAGGCATTGTTGTTAACAGAGGAGCAGATGTAAGTGTATTAATAACTTCATAAAATGAATTCTTTGGAGACTGGTATCTTGAGAGCTCTTGCTTTATGACACAATCTCCTCCTCTTCTCAATTCGTACTACTGGTTGTGATACTACTACCGACCAAGGATAGCCTAGTGCTAAAGGACAAGAAGGAGAGGAGATAAGGTGCAAATCAATCAGCAAGTTATGGAACGCAAAGGTAGGTTTGGGCACACCCAGTAGTTTCTTCAGCAGGCAGACTTTAGGTAGACTCCCTTTAGGGGAGCCAAAACATTTTTGTACTCTACAATAAAGTTTACCTGCCGAAGAAATTACAGGATGTGTCCAAACCTACTTTTTTGTTCCACTGGATTTGTCTGGCCTGGGGCCTCCCTGTTTTAACACCTTAAAGACACATGACGTGTGTGACATGTCATGATTCCCTTTTATTCCAGAAGTTTGGTCCTTACGGGGTTAAAGTACCCTAGTGGGAGTACTCCCTGAAATAGTGTGTTCTCTGAAATTCCACAAGACATCAGGTTATGTGATTATGTGTTGTATGTGTTATGGGAGGAGTGTATACTGGTCTACCATCTATTGCCTTAACTGCCAAATGTGGGGCCTTCTGATTGAGTGGTATAGCAGAAAAACAAATAAAAGAGGCATCGACAAAGGTCACTGCCGCACTGGAGACCGATAAGGTCTGGACCGTTTAACTGGACTGTTAATGATAGGATTCCAAGTAGTAGGAAGAATATGCCAAGAGCAGGATGGATTATAGGACATTTTCATAACACCCATGGCTGGCGTCCTGATTAGCTTTTGGTTGCAACAGTTTTCTGAATGGCTAGGGCATTATTGGTTTTAGGTAACATTTTGTACTGCAATAAAAATAAAGCCCTTCCTACCTCCTGTAGGAGTTCTCTGTCTCAGGAAATGTTGTGAGATCTAACAGCATTGTTTCAGGAGCAGGAAAAGCAAGGGTTTCTAGATCAGAGAATATACTGCTTTTGTTATTATTTAGAGTTCTATTTTTCTCTTATCCTGTCATCAATATGGATACAGTAATAGATTAAATTGTATAATTCCTCAATAAGGTTTATAGAACAAACTCGGGTACTAAGGGAGTATGGAAATAGGTGACTCTGTGTGGTATGAGGCTCCGACGTCCACAGGTGGGGATTGTGCTTACAGCCCAACACCGTGCAGGACGTTTGGCATTTGCCAGAGAACACCAAGATTGGCAAATTCGCCACTGACAGATGTGACAGAGTCTGGAGACGCCATGGAGAACGTTCTGCTGCCTGCAACATCCTCCAGCATGACCGGTTTGGCAGTGGGTCAGTAATGGTGTGGGGTTGCATTTCTTTGGGGGGTCGCACAGCCCTCCATGTGCTCACCAGAGGTAGCCTGACTGCCATTAGGTACCGAGATGAGATCCTCAGACCCCTTGTGAAACCATATGCTGGTGCGGTTGGCACTGGGTTCCTCCAATGCTAGACCTCATGTGGCTGGAGTGTGACAGCAGTTCCTGCAAGACAAAGGCATTGATGCTATGGACTGGCCGGCTCGTTCCCCAGATCTGAATCCAATCGAGCACATCTGGGACATCATGTCTCGCTCCATCCACAAACGTCACGTTGCACCACAGACTGTCCAGGAGTTGGCAGATGCTTTAGTCCAGGTCTGGGAGGAGATCCCTCAGGAGACCATCCACCACCTCATCAAGAGCATGCACAGGCGTTGTAGGGAGGTCATATAGGCACGTGGAGGCACATTTAACTATGTAAAGAACAAGTATTTCAGAAGAATATTTAATTCATTCAGATCTAGGATGTGTTATTTTTGTGTTCCCTTTATTTTTTTGAGCAGTGTATATAATTGTTTTGTCATGATTCCACATGGGTGAAACTGGGGATAACCAGTGGCGTACATACCGGGGTCGCGGCTGCACCTCAGGGTGCCCCAAGGCTGGCCCTGGTGTCACCGGGCGGGCAGGCTGGCGGGTGCACGAGGGAGCACTCTCCCCTGACGTCATATTCCGGCTCCGGCATCTGTACGTGGCGCACAAGGGAGCTGAACAGGGGGCACTCAGGGGAGAGTGCTCCCTCGTGCGCCTGCCAGCCTGCCCCATGACCGGCTGCCCAGCCACACCACTGGACCCCAGGGAATCCCCTCAGCACTCCCAAAGGTAGGGAGGCTGGGGGATTAAATTTAAAAAACATGTGTGTGTGTTAGTCTTAGAGTGTGTGTGTGTGTTAGTTTTTGTGTCAGTTTGTGTGTATCAGTGAGTGTGTTAGTGTGCGTGTCTGTTACTGAGTGTGTTAGTTTGTGTGCGTCTGTTAGTGAGTCTGTTTGGTGTCTGTTAGTGAGTGTGTGTTTTGTGAGTGTGTATGTGTCTGTCAGTGAGTGTGTGTCTGTCAATAAATGTGTGTGTCTGTTAGCTAGTGTGTATGCGTCTGTCCGTGAAAGTGTGTGTGTGTCTGTTCCTGGGGAGACCCTTAACCCACTAGCGTGGGTGGGTGGGAGTTATGGAAAATTGGGGAATTTACCGTTAGTGCTGCTTACTTCTAGTTAGGGGTTAACGGTAAAAAAAAACAAAAAAAACTTATAAAAATGTTAAATCTGTAAAAAAAAGTTTTAAGAAAGTTAGGAAAGTTTTAAAAAATTATTAAGCAAAGTTATTAATTAGCAAAGTTCAAAAACAAGTTGTAAAAAGAGTTTAAAAAAAGTAAAGAAAAATACATTTAAAAATGCTCATTACCACTACACCTGGAACAAACTAGAGAAAAAAATGATCCCAGGCTAAGGTTCAAAATATGCCTTTTAAATTACCCCAGGGTGTATTCTTTAATAAATAGTATGTTTTTGTGGGGAAGTTTCAATAACCAACCGTCTAAACTACTCCAAAATGGAACAGCGTAAAACTTCAAAGTTTGAAAAAAACTTGAATGGCTGTGTCCCAAATGTGCCCCTCCGATGTCCACATATACCTGGCAAAGGTACATACGGGGGTATTGCTGTACTCAGCCAACACAGCTGAGCAATATATGAAGTATTATACAGTCATAGCACACATAAGGTTTGCAAAATATACTGTGAAAACTCACCTTGTGTGTCAAAAAGGAAAAAAAAACGCTTATTACCCCTACACTTGGTACAAGCTGACGGAAAAATTATCCCACGCCAAGGTTTTAAATTATGCCTTTTGAAATACCCTGGGGTGTCTTCTTTAAGAAATGGTATGCCTTTATGGTGTAGTTGTAATATGTAGCCTGCTCAAGTGCTCCAAAGTGGAACATGGACACATCAAAACCCTCCATGAAAATTCACACTTAAAAACCTGAACTTGTCACGTCTCTTTTACAGCACTGTAACTTCACAAAATAGTGTCTAGGTCATACATTGGGCATATTGCTTTACTCAGAAGACTTAGCTGAGCATAATTTGGGGGGTTTGAACATATGAAATATACAAAATGCCCAGCAAAAATGTAATCCGTATGTAAAAAATGCCCAAAATTATTTTTTACCACATACTTTGGCATATATTGGTGAAAAAATGGGGGCATGTTAAGGCACAATATGCACCTTATGAGATACCCTGGAGTGTCTACTTTTACAAATGGTAGGCCTTTGTGGGCGTTTTTTGAACAGTCAAACTGTTATAATACCCCAAATGGAAGCTAAGGCTCATTAAATTCATCTCTCAAAATTCTACTGTGAATACTGAAAAGGACAGGTATCCTGTATGGCACTGTAACTTCACGAAATAGTGCCAAAGACATACAATGGGGGTGTCATTTTACTCAGCAGATGTAGCTGAACACAAAATAAATAAGCATTTATATATATATATTACATCAAATTAAAGCCCTTTCTGGCATTTAAAAAACAGTATATAATATGTGTCGGTGCAATAAATTAGTAAAATGCAAATTGCAGTTGAACGCAAACAACAAAAAAAGCAATTGTCATTAAGCGCAAGACAAGCTTCTGAAGCGGTGTCCTTAAGGGGTTAATGTATTTTCCCATTGTATTCTGTTATTATTTACTCTCTCTGTCATGGTATTTCCACATACTACAAAACCCATAAATCTGTAGAACCTGGGTGTTCTACAGGTAGTCCATTTAGGTAAGATGTGTTATTACAAGGTTTTTGTTCTGAGCTGGGGCAGGATGGTGGGAGTTGGAGTGGCCTGTGGCAAGATGGTGGGAGTTGGAGTGGCCTGTGGCAAGATGGTGGGAGTTGGAGTGAGCTGAGGAAGGATGCTGGCAGTTGAAGTCAGCTGGACCAGGACAGTAGGAGTGGGCTGGAGCAGGATTGTGTGAGTTGGACTGAGCTGGGGCAGAGTGGATGGGGCTGAGGAAGGATGGTGGGAGTTGGAGTGGGCTGAGGAAGGATGGTGGAAGTTAGAGTGGACTGGAGCAGGATGATGGGAATTAGAGTGGGCTGAGGAAGGATGGTGGGAGTTAGAGTGGGCTGAGGAAGGATGGTGGGAGTTAGAGTGGGCTGAGGAAGGATGGTGGGAGTTGGAGTGGGCTGAGGAAGGATGGTGGGAGTTGGAGTGGGCTGAGGAAGGATGGTAGGAGTTAGAGTGGGCTGGAGCAAGATGATGGGAATTAGAGTGGGCTGAGGAAGGATGGTGGGAGTTAGAGTGGGCTGAGGAAGGATGGTGGGAGTTGGAGTGGGCTGGAGCAGGATGCTGGGAGTTGGAGTGGGCTGAGGAAGGATGTTGGGAGTTAGAGTGGGCTGAGGAAGGATGATGGGAGTTAGCGTGGGCTGAGGAAGGATGATGGGAGTTAGAGTGGGCTAAGGAAGGATGGTGGGAGTTAGAGTGGGATGAGGAGGGATGGTGGGAGTTAGAGTGAGCTGAGGAAGGATGGTGGGAGTTGGAGTGGGCTGGAACAGGATGATGGGAGTTGGAGTGGGCTGAGGAAGGCTGATGGGAGTTGGAGTGGGCTGATGAAGGATGATGGGAGTTTGAGTGGGCTGAGGAAGGATGATGGGAGTTAGAGTGGGCTGAGGAAGGATGGTGGGAGTTAGAGTGGGCTGAGGAAGGATGGTAGGAGTTAGAGTGGGCTGGAACAAGATGATGGGAATTAGAGTGGGCTGAGGAAGGATGGTGGGAGTTAGAGTGGGCTGAGGAAGGATGGTGGGAGTTGGAGTGGGCTGGAGCAGGATGATGGGAGTTGGAGTGGGCTGAGGAAGGCTGATGGGAGTTGGAGTGGGCTGATGAAGGATGATGGGAGTTTGAGTGGGCTGAGGAAGGATGATGGGAGTTAGAGTGGGCTGAGGAAGGATGGTGGGAGTTAGGTGGGCTGAGGAAGGGATGGTGGGAGTTGAGGGGTTGAGGAAGGATTATGGGAGTTAGAGTGGGCTGAGGAAGGATGGTTGGAGTGGGCTGAGGAAGGATGGTGGGAGTTGGAGTGGGTTGAGGAAGGATGATGGGAGTTAGAGTGGGCTGAGGAAGGATGGTGGGAGTTGGAGTGGGCTGGAGCAGGATGATGGGAACTAGAGTGGGCTGAGGAAGGATGGTGGGAGTTAGAGTGGGCTGAGGAAGGATGGTTGGAGTGGGCTGAGGAAGGATGATGGGAGTTGGAGTGGGCTGGAGCAGGATGATGGGAGTTGGAGTGGGCTGAGGAAGGATGATGGGAGTTGGAGTGGGCTGAGGAAGGATGGTGGGAGTTAGAGTGGGCAGGAAGGATGGTGGGAGTTAGAGTGGGCTGAGGAAGGATGGTGGGAGTTGGAGTGGGTTGAGGAAGGATGATGGGAGTTAGAGTGGGACTTTGAGGAAGGATAGTTTGGAGTGGGCTGAGGAAGGATGGTGGGAGTTGCAGAGTGGGTTGAGGAAGGATGATGGGAGTTAGGAGTGGGCTGAGGAAGGATGGTGGGAGTTAGAGTGGGCTGAGGAAGGATGGTGGGAGTTGGAGTGGGCTGAGGAAGGATGGTGGGAGTTGGAGTGGGTTGAGGAAGGATGATGGGAGTTGGAGTGGGCTGGAGAAGGATGATGGGAGTTGGAGTGGGCTGGAGCAGGATGATGGGAGTTGGAGTGGGCTGAGGAAGGATGATGGGAGTTGGAGTGGGCTGAGGAAGGATGGTGGGAGTTAGAGTGGGCTGAGGAAGGATGGTGGGAGTTGGAGTGGGTTGAGGAAGGATGATGGGAGTTAGAGTGGGCTGAGGAAGGATGGTTGGAGTGGGCTGAGGAAGGATGGTGGGAGTTGGAGTGGGTTGAGGAAGGATGATGGGAGTTAGAGTGGGCTGAGGAAGGGA